CCCTAATTCGTATTCCGGTAAAACTGCGTGCGATAATTCAATCCAAAATGAACTATAAAATTTCTATAAACAGCAAGCTTTGCTATAAACCATAGGTATCTACGGTATTTGAAAATCAGCGATTATAAATATGAACAACTTCTCAGAGCAATCCCCGTAATGTAATGAAAGCAAAGGCTCTTATTTTGGTATATCATTTGCGTTCAAAATGCTTTTCTTATCTCAAAATGATTTTCTCCAAAGGGTATTTGCATGTTTATATTTAGGCCGTAAAGGATTAGAAAAACGTATTACAAACTTGACCTTGTGGTAACACAACGGGCATAATATATATACAATCGAATAGAATAACACAATCAATAACTTAATTTTTATTCATTTGTAAAAGAGAATTAAACTATAGATAAATTAAAACGTTTGAAGCCCCATTAATTACTCTTGAGACATTTTACAATTGCCAAATGTTTAAGGCACTTCAATTACTATTGAGCAGGTACTTCGAACTTATAATTTGATATATATTTCATTGCGTACTTGATTAATGCAAAAATGTTATATTGTATTGAATAATTTGGAATATTCAATTAAGTACACTTAAGATAGCAAACAACCTGCTATTCCGTTAAGTAAAGTTAAAGTAATTCTGATAAAGTAACCGTGAGCGAACATGTGACAGTTTTCTTTAATGAAAAAAGGGGGCAAACTGGCAGGAGGCTCACTAGATGAGAATTGATCACCGCTGCCCATGAAAATCTGCCACACATGCACACGGAAAGAATATTATGCTCTTTTCTTGAATGTTCCCAGGTCGTAACGATTCGAAAGCACACCTGGCGGCCGCTGGTTCCACAGAGTGGTTGTACGAGGCAGGAAATGTCTTGAAAATCCCGCTGTTGTAGAGCGCGGGACGTCGAGCTGTTGTGGATGAAACGTGTGGTTGAGATGTTGATTCTGAGATATTTGTTTTTTTTTTCGTTCTAATGAATCTCTTGTCTCTTATTATAAATGCCAAAGAGGGACAGTCTTTTACTTGTTTGTATCTTAAACTACCGACCAACTAGTGCTTATGTTTAACATGCAGCGATAACACTATGTCATTGTTATTTCAACAACAATATTTAATTATGACAATTTCTTGTATTTACGCGATTACATATTATAAATGAAACTAATTGTTATGGATTTATCGCGTTTTTTTTTTATTTTATTTCCCGACATTTAGTTTATCCCGTGACCATGAACGGTATAAAGGGTTCGAAACGTTGTAAATTTAAACGCGATAAATCCGTGAAAATTAGTTTCATTTATAATATTTCATTATTGTAATAATTAATGTAAAACGAAGTTGTTGCTTAGGCCGCCGCGGAAGGACTAATCAGAAATAATTGGCTATTAAGCTTTACTTATGAAGATTCCTTTCGCATAGCGTGCGCTAATGTCATGTCAGTTGTTTGAATTACTTAGTTGTGACAGCCCTACGTGGGGAACTCCACGCACTGCATAAGTGAAAGCAGACTCAATACACGCGACGCTTTACATTGTAGCTACCCGCCATTAGATTGGGGTATGTTAAGATGAACGACATGTAATGTTATAATGAAAGAGAAAAAGAAATACAGCATGGATGCAAATTCTCAAAAATGGCAAAAATATGACATTGCTAAGATTTTACTTAACATTAATAAGCTTTTTTACTCATATTAATTATGATTATAATTGCATTAACAGTTCTCACCAATGATAATGCCTGACTATATAACTATGTAAGCTTTCTGTATACAAAGCTTAAATAGTTATACATATAGTCAGGCATTAACTACTACATAATTACTTTATTATCGACTCACACCCTTGTCTAGCAACGGCTCCGAAAAGCAAACATAAATGACTTTAAAAGGTGAAAAAAAAAATAGAAATGTCATACTATAATTACTTTAGACTTTACTTGTCCTGCAAGGCATAAGCCCCTAAAAGAGCCTTCGAGTTTTTTCGGCACTTGTTCAATGTTAAAATTTTAAAGCTGAATTTCACGTTTATCAAAGGTTGACATTTGCTTTGTGCACGTTCTAGCGTAAGTAGTTAAGCTTTCATGTGCGCGCACCTTTCCGTTCCCAATTTTCACAAAGGCCCACAGGATAGGTTTAGCTAGTGTGGTGCCAACGGATGACAATAACTTATTACAATTTTTTTCTTTGCCAAGAAATATTCTTTTCATTTTTAATACGAAGAAAAGACGTTAAGTACATGAAGCTTAGTAAAACGCTACATGTTCACAAAAACTCACTCGTTTATTGCATGAAGTTCCTTTGATTTTTAATTTTCTTAATTTGCTGTGTGTTGTGTTTATTTCTGTGTAATCTATTTATATTACATACAAACATTAAGTAAAAAATCTACTTACTCGATAGTTTTATAAAAGTCGCGCATAACCTCACTAAATTATCTTATCATTATATATTAAGCTAATTTCAATAGCCTTCCAGTCTATCTAAATCAATCCGACATCGTCAGTTCCGTCGACAGAGAAAACAGCTTTAACCAGTTTGCGGTCGCCATCTTAGTTACGGAAATCTGTAGGGCCCGTTTGGATTTGAACTGATCAATTAAACTACGATGAAGGTAGCTTTCAATTAAATTTATTAATTATAACTCTATTGCAATTATATTCAAATTTAATTACTTTTTTTATTGTTTCTTTAAAAGATATATAAAGGAATTATTTAATGATTATTATTATGTTCCTATAGTATCATAATATTGCTCAGTGCGTGCGCTAAATTTTGACTTCATTATTTTGATGTTAAACTATCTGACAACTCCATATTTTGATCATATATATGATCATAAATAAACTATCTGACAACTCCATCATTGAATATATACATAAAGTATCTGACTATATATAAACATGACTATATATGATCATATATAAACTGACTATATATGATCATAAATAAACTATCTGACAACTCCATCCATCCGTTGAAGTGAAACGGAACATTGAACATAGACCTTTATTTTTCTGTAGGGGATTCGATTTTTTCCCCATGTAAAATTTGTCAAAACTTTAAGTAGCTCTGATAAACCTCATGTTTGGAACCATATATTTTAAGCTTCCAAAAGACTAAGAATTATGCTATGCGTTTCTCTTTTATTGGCATCCGTATAGTACTGAATTGATAGAATTTAGGACAATCGCCTTGGATGTGGCTAACAGTGGTTCAATTTTATAAAAGCTCAATAAAGAATTCACTCCTTGTTTGGTTCGTATGATCTTCAATCTAAATGTTAATTTAAAACAGTTCATATTCAACCTCTTTGTATTATGATGGTTTTTCGCAACTTTCATCTATTTTATAGCTACATTAAATGCCCGCTTAAAATTGCAATTAACATTAACATTAGTGCTAGCACCGAAATTGCTGACCGAGTAATTCGAAACTGAAAGCGAGAGTCTTGCGTTCCAGCTACTTTAACTCTTGATAAGTCATTTAAACACTTTTTCTGATTCATATCATTGTAATAAGACTTCTATATTGTTTCAAATTTTCTTTTACATGGCTAAGTTCTTGTATAAAACTGATGTAGTTATGTTGAATTAACCTTTACCAAATCTTTTTCTATATAAAATTCAATATACCAGATATTGAAATTGTATAAAACTGATGATTGAACATACACAAACGAATACATTTTGTTATTACTAGTCCATACGATTTGTTGCCGCAATAGCTCAGTGTCCGGGCGCTCGCTTTTAATTAAATATACTCGAGCAATTTGACTTCGATCCCCGGTGCTGGCGATAATTAAATTTTTAATTTTAAGTGCTGACCTATCACGTGCTCAGCTGCATATTAAAGAAATAAAAAGAATAAAAAATATGTGAAGTCCGACAATCCGCGCGGCCACGTGGTGGACTATGTCCTGATACCCTCTTTACTGAGGAGGCCTTTGCCCACAGCGGGACATGTATAGGCTTACTTTAGTCTCTACGATTTGTTCCAATTTATTGTCATTCAATATTAAGGTCATTATTACTTTATTACAATCGGTGGCGCAGTTGCTAAGCTTCGGCACCGATGATCATGGATTCGATTTCCATCCGGGACAATTATTATAGTGTGGGTTATTGTTATCTGGGTGTTTGTTTCCATGTAGGGTTGACGTCAGACAGGCCGAACGTAAAAACCTAGCTGAAACCACTTACGACGCGATTTACACGTCGTGCCGACCCGATCTAGGGGGGATAAGGGAGATAAGGGAGGATGATTACGATGATGATGATGATGATGATTATGATGTTACTGATACATGTATTGTTGGTTGATGTTAAAAAGATTTAATAGCACTTTTAACAGAGCCAGTTGTGATTTAAAGTTTAGTTTTTAATTTTTATCAAGAACGTTAATTTTGTATTACTGTCTGATTACTGGCACTGTTTTTGATTACTGATAAAGATGACCTAAATAAATTAAAATAGTAACGAGTGTGCCGTCCCTTATAATATTTTGTTTCACTTTTACCTCTTCGAACGGGAAAGTGCTCCAACTAGTTCTCTGTGTCTATTATCATAGTGCCAAATTCACTCAGCGAGAAAGCTCTTTCAAGTGGGGGGAATAAATTACTTAAATTTAAATACAAGTATTTATATTATGTATTTTTATGTTGTGTTATATATAAATATGTACATAATAATATTGTGTGAGTAGACAGTCCATGAAAATGAAAATTACATTCAATGCACATTACAAAAGTCATTACAATATAACTAAATCTTGTACTCGCACTTTAAACTATTAAGACTTATAACGATATCTAAAATTGTATTACGAGTGAACAACCTGTTCGCCTTTTAAGTTTGCCTAGTATGAAAAGTCCATTTTAAGCTTAAGGTTTTCCTCGTGGCTCGCGAATATGTTGCAAGTCAACAGACGATGCGTTTGCGCATGCATTTTTCGCACAACAAAGGGAAGGAGTAATATTTTCATTGTTCCACTCACCTTGGGCAAGACCCGGCCCGAGAGCAGCGCTCCAAATAACGAGACATACACACAGAAGCATATTGCGAATGTCCATACAAATCATGACAAGTGAACTATGCATGATAAACTCCGTCACTTATGCATATCACACCGTACACGTTACACGCACACTGGCACACTTGGTTGAAATTACAATTCCGCGCGAAAGTAAGAGTTTCCCATTTGAAGACGGTGATTGCGCGCGAATGCCTGGGTACGTCTTCGGTCATACGCTCGGAACGGACTGAGCTGGACTGAGCCGCGCCTTCGCTCTGCCCCCACCTTGCGGCCGCCTTTCACCGTTACAATTCATAACCCGAAAGACTGTTGAGCAAGGCTATATGACGATTGACATTCAACAAAAACGCCCCGCCATACGGAAATGGCGTGTTTACGCGCCCCCATAGCGCCGGCAGAGACTACAGACGAACTTATATCGTCTAATGACTGATGTTGCATTTTGTTAAAAGCTCACTATTTAGTTTGTAGGCATATAATTTAAAAAAACACGTGGTTTTGTAGTAGACACATATATTTCATACACATATATCATGGGTACACATAGAGTTAAATAGACATTTATTCACATCAAGAGAAAAGTAAACATTTATACAGACTATTAATACAAGATGCTTATTTTTCTATCAGTGCAAACTATGCCTTCAATGTTTTTGCTTTGCACCTATATTAAATATCTTTTAACCAAATATTAGTATATCATGTTTTATGAGAGACATTTACTATAAAAAATAATAACTACTCCCTTACTTTTCAAATGTTAAAATACATTAGTTTGCACGTAATGTTTAGATTATAATTGATTATATTAAAAAAATACAGTATAAGCAACACAAACAAATGCTTTTTCAGAAGTTGCTACCATTATAAATAATATAATATCCAAAGCAATCATCGATACCATTTTTCATACTGATCACAATTTTTTTTGAAAATACTAATTGTATACATTTACCTCTTAAACAGTCTTTAATAAGATAGATAGATATATTTACAAGAATACCTTTTATAAGAATATCTGAGTACAAAAATAGACAGCGAATGAAATAGGTTTATAAATTCGATCTAAACTCTCCATATATGTAATTTCTTAAGCATTTAATGTTAAGACTTTTTTTAATTTAAAGCAAAATTGGACAAAATTCCATAAAAAATTCCTAAGTCGATAAATATTTTTGACTTCTTTTTGTTACTACTTGGATTTTTCATGGTACAGAATATGATAAAAAATAAAAAAATCATATAATGACCATTCTAACGAACTGTGGGTAAAGAATATTTATGATATTTATTTAATACATTTTCATATATTTTTAATACATATTTAAGAACCAAAAGAAAACTACACCACAAAAAGTAATTGAAAATTGTCAAGAATATCATGAATATCTAATACGGTGGAAAACAGGCGGTCGTGATATATAATAATTGGTGAAATAAAATAATACCGACAGAGTTCCAAACCACATGAAAACATACATTGAAATGTATCGAAAAATTTAGGAGAATTTGTTATTCTATATCGTTATTATTAGAAACGCGTGATAAGTGTAAAAAGTAACGGAAAATGCTTCATTTTAAATTCGGTTTCTTCCGCATTTCTTGTTTAAAATTGCAAAAGTGATCCTAACAGGACGGAATGTCCAATCAATTTACGACTGACAAAAATTAATCTGTTGAGCACTGTGTATTATTATAGGTCTATACCTATCTAAAAACAGTGCATTTTGCTGTGGCAATGAGATTGTATGTGAGATTTCAAGACAATAAGCATGCATGAATGTTTTGAACTTATTAAAATTAGGGAGATTCACCTATTTCGGTCAGGTATGACAAATGTCACTTTATTATTTAAAATTAATTACTGATTTATAATCATCCAAAACGATTTTGTGTGCTGTTGGAGCCATATTAAGGGTTTAGTTCGAAAACCGTATAACTGAAAAACAGAATTCTTATGGTTTAATCGACTGATGTGTTTTATGTTTTTAGCAACTAGATTGACCATAGAAGCGATGATTTTTAAATCAGCTTTCATAATATATATAATTGTTCAAAAATTTATCGAATAAGCTATTGGTTAAATGCAAGCATTAAATAATTACTTTAAAAAACTTTTAAGTTAAACGGTTTTATTTTATGTTTTTTTTTGTTAAATTTTTTTTGTTAATATTGTATTGTCATCTAAATTAAATGTGTGTACCAAATTTCAGATCAATCTGACAACGGCAAGGTGCTTAAATTTCAATTTCTAATTTTGACCCAAATAAATAAACAAACAAATTCCGTACGGGTCGAGCTAAATAAAACCGTTTAAAAAGGCTCTTTTTTTTACCTTCCTAGGCCATGAATGCATCGAATAAGACCGGAACGCTATAATTGAAAATTTTCAGACATATTTTTTAAAATTCTACCTTATGTTTAACGATATCATATTCATATTAAAATTACGCGTATATATAGACACCAAGCGTAAACATAAAGCAAACATTTTTTTATCCTCAAATACTAAGGTATTTTTAATGGTAATTCTTATTTTCTCTACGAAAAGTCACATTCAAGGAATAGCACATACGGAAATAAATAATATACAGCGTGTCTTTACCATCGCGACAATAAATGAACACACATATAGAGGATGATTTTTTAAAATTATATTAAAGATTTACATTCTTTAAACATCAATATTTAACGAGTTATAAAATTTTCCAAAACAAAGAATTTTAGAACAGCCTTACGTATAAAACTATAATGTAAAGTTCATTTGTAAAGGTAACAAAGCATATGAAAGGGTTGAATGAATATAAAAGAGACAAAACATACTGTTAGAAGGAGAGGCTTGTAATGCGGCGCTGTGGCAACGAATCAAAAAGTCTCTGAATGTATGAATCAGTCAGATGTAGTTGTATAGGATGTTACAAATTTTGTTTCTTTTTACTTAATTACTATTTTTTTTAATTATGGATTTTTTTAACGTTAATATTTTTTATGATTATTGGCAAGTAGCGTTAGACGTGTGTTCATTTATTGTCGCGGTGGTAAAGACACGCTGTATATGAGAAAATCACGTATGGACGTAACAAAGTAGCCCTTCACTTTACTTTAGTTTTGCTATAATTTTCATAGCAAAACATACCTTCGTCTAAGCTGGTTAACACCTACTCTAAACACTAATATTATAACATCAATAATTTAATAAGGTAGGTAGGTACTTTTTGATTTGAAATAGCACCTAAGAACATTAAACACATTTTAATACATTTTTATATCTTAGTTTTACTACGGTTAAAACGACATAAGTGTACTGTGTGTAATCCTGCTAACATAACATAGATTTAATTTTCTTACTCCAACGAGTGTTCGTTGATTCTTGTTCTCTTTATAGTTTGTGCATAGCATTAAATTCATTACTACATCTAAATAAGTTAATAAATGCGTACGTAACATTTTAATTAGCCCAGAAATTTGGGATTACAATAATTTCTTAAGAAGCTATGTCTATTTTTCTACAGGACACATAATTTGGCTACAACATTTTTTTTCAGATTTTTAACGCTTTATGTGCGTGATTCCTTAATGTATAACGTTTAATATAAAACATCTATGAATATATCGTGATATACACCTAATTTCATCAACGCTACAAACTACTAGTAAGATATTTATTTTAGATTATTTATTCAATAAGAAATTCGCCTATCGCGATAAGTAAACATAGATTATTCCCCCCCAACTTGTACGCAAAGAAGTTTTGGGATTATGGAAATTATTTTTTTATCCCTTCATTTAAACCACGTTAAGAAATATTAATCTTACAGATTTTTTTAAATAACACCAAGTTAATTTATCCTTATTTGCTAAGAACAAAATGGCTGTTGACTATGTATTGATTAGAAAGATTTCGTTTATACAAGTGGTACATAAATATATATCTACTATAATTTAATCTACTCGATTAAAAATAAGAATAGGATGTGTAACAAATTATTCACATATCAAATTTCTAGATCAATGTGAACTAGAGGAGATGTGTAAGGACAACTTTGTTTTTTATTTGGTTGACAAGTTTGGTTTTTATTGTACATAATTCTAATGCGTTCATTTTTGAGTTTTAAATGAAAAGGTGTAAATAATTTTACAAGTTACTCACAAAATTTAAATGGCAATATTGAATATCGACTAAATATGTATGTATTTCATTTCTATTTTGATAAATTAATATGAATGAAACATGGGAGTGTAAATGCTCAGAAAACTGCTCACTTTTTTGTCTTTATTAATTTTATATGATATTACTTAGAATATATAAGCTAAATTAAAGCTTTGAATATTTCGTCAATATCCCTAAAATGGACTAATTGGGCCAAATGGGTTCACCGAAGTCGCTAGAGGTCAGCGACAGGCGAACTGTAATATTAAAAATTTCTAATTTTAATTATATACATATATATGTTGTTATCATCAATATAATAAAAGAAAAGTTAATGTCCTCCTTATTCATTTGTTTATTTACTTTATTCCATGACGCCTCATTCACGTCTATACCTTACAAAACTTGCAGGTTTTACTATGATGGTCAATTGTTAGTTTTATAAGTCCTTTTTAATACGTATGACTAAAAATAAACGCGAAACCTTCAAGATTTTACAATTTTCAAAAGAATTATAGAATTAATAAGTAATACCCAAGATTTATTTAAATTTTCCGCGAAAATCTGAAGTTTAATTAATTTAGTGAGCTCATAATCATAGTGCAGTCCTGATATGTCTGAGTATGACCTCTCAATGCATGTAAATAAAATAGAACCTACTTTTTGTGGGGAAAAACCACTACTTTCTCACACATTTCGCAACAGTATATTGCCATAAATTATAATTATATTATTCAAATACACTGAAATGAAAGTTTTGAAGGTCTTATACAGTTTTGCTACGCTATACACTTAACTAATAACACACCGGATTAATAACGACTACAAGCAAGGGAAGGCGAAAATTAAATGCAAATTCTTTCAAGTAACAAAACACTATCAAAGTATTTGTTTCGTGCACAACAAACACGCGTTGCAGGAACTAAAAGAAATAAATAAAATATTTTAAAAACAAAATTGGGGTTTTTCAGGTGCCTTTTTCTAACAATCATCTGCGCGGGGATTGATTTGAACGTAAACGTTAGTCACATTGTACGTCACGCTAGGAGTTGCTACCGGCATGGCTCTGCGCCTCCGGGGGGGTCTCGTATATCAGTTTCGTCGAGCATATCATAATTCCTGCGTCTCACGCGAAGAAGAAGCAGCGCGCTGGGGACTTCCAGGGTGTACCGCCTGGTGCATTATGTGGACTCTTACATCGCCCGTAGCTGGTTTGTATTCCAAGGCCCTTCGGTGACGGTTGTTGAACGAACCGGAAAGAGTGCTCTTGCAGCAGCAGTAGTTGAATAGGTGTGCGAACGCGCGTCTGAAGTTCCTGCCCAGTATGCCGTAGATGAAGCTGGTGAAAACCGAACGGCACATGCCAATCCAAACGCAGTGGTAATATTTCGAGTCGCTGGTGCCAGGGAACTCGTGCACGACGACGAGGTAGGGTATCCACGCAACGACGAATAGAATGTATGCCGTAATGTTCAGGAGAGCGGTCGAGTAATCCCTCTCGTATTGCTGAGAGCGCTTGTAATAGACTTGCTTGCGCGCCTTGCGTCGGATGCCGAAGGAAGCGGAAAACAAACCGAACATGGTCATAATGAAGGGGATAGCGTGGAATAAGACCGCGGTTGTCACTCGAAAGTAGAAGTTGCCGTAATGCTTGCGCTGACAGTAGTCGTAGTCCAGGTCGAGGTACACTCCAGTCCCGGCTGTGGCGACACTCACCGCAAAGACGAAGAAACTTATGAGCCCCACGCGCATCGAAATGAACATCTCGTATTCTTCCGGGCTGCGGCAAAGTCGATAGTAGTTCTCAGCAGCTACCAACTGTTGGATATGAAGGGTTATTAGTAGTAGTAGTAGTAATTGACCGTTTTACATATGATGTAACCAACTTTATGCTAAGACAAGAAAACTACCTACTTGAATTTTAAATGTACTAATTGTATTGTAATTTTTGTAGGAGGAGTAAGTATTCATGCTACTTAATTATGAATAAATTTTTTTTATATAATTGAGTGCGATATTTATTTGTATGAAATAGGATGTTCCAGAATAATCGCCGCCACTTTGTCTAAAATATATAAAATGTAATATATTGAAGTATAATATATTGCAGTTTAAATCATTTGGATAAGAATATATCTTCATCGGAACTTCTTATTATTTCTAAACTGTATTCATGGTTGTCATTATGGCCTAATGAATATGAATGTTATGATTTAAATATATTAAACCTATTTAAAACTTACCATAAAGAATAAGCTATAAGAATATGTTGCTAATTCGCTTAAAAATTGCAGCGCGTAACAAAGAGGTACGCTGTCCCATTGTCCTGACAGGAGCACCACTGCACATGTTGGCATTACGATACTTGTTAGGATGAGATCAGACATTCCAACGCAGGCCAGGTAGACGTTGCCTGTTAAATCAAATTATCTAAATTAATTATTTAATTTAATTTTCTTTCATAGTGCTAATCTCTGCACTTAAAATTAAACATTAAAAGTTGGAGAAAAAGTACGAAAAGATTGTCACTGCTGTGGGAATCGAACCCACGTCTTCGGCATTTGCGGCCTGATGCTTTAGCTACTAAGCTAAACGGCTGATTGCCACACCGACGAAAGTCTTTACGTATTTTATCTACATTTTTAGCATTTGCAGCATTGCTTGGCGCATCCATTGTTATATCCTTTCCAGCATACAAACAATTTCGAATATTGTTTTACAATAATATTTCGAACGAGAGATGTGGCCATTACTTTTTAGAAATTTAAATTTTTAAAATGCTATGTGCTCTGCACATAAGATTTACATAATTTTATTGTTTAATCTTAGATTTTCGTCGGTGTGGCAATCAGCAATAAACAAACATAATTCGAGGACAACATTTTAAATTCATGGGTTCAATTTCGGTCGGACATAATATTCTCTACATTAATCAAATATTATAATAATAAATTAGAATCGACAATGTCAAATTGCTTGTAGAATATTTATAAAATGTTTAAGTTTTAGGACTTTGCATCGTCACGAATGATAAAAGAAGGAATGGTAAATGAATAATGTGAGGTATATGCAAAATAAACTCTTGTAGTTGTATGGAAGCCTCGTTAAATATTTTTTTATTCTGTTTTTAGTATTGGTTGTTATAGTGGCAACAGAAATACATCATCTAGAAAATTTCAACTATCTTACTGTCACGGTTCATGCGATACAGCATGGTGACAGACGGACTGACGGACATCGGAGTCTTAGTAATATGGTCCCGTTTTACCCTTTGACTATAGAACCCTAATAAATGTGCCACTTCTGATGAAAATTCTGTTTTATAGGTAATTTATATGACCAAAATCACTGTTTATTTCCAAAATCTCTATGGTCTCTTATAGAATGTTTTTGTTACATTTTCACATGAATGAAAAGAAATGTAACACCATAAACCTTATAACATGTCATACTGTTAGGCATAGGACCACGTTCAGTATTTATTAGGACAACCACACTATTTCAGGACATATATACTTTCTTATACAGCGTGTCGTTACCATCGCGACAATAAATGAACACACGTCTGACGGTACTTACCAATAATCATTAAAAATATAAACATTAAAAAAAACCATAATTAAACCTTTACAAATGAACTTTACGTTACAGTTTTATACGTAAGAGTGTTCTAAGCTTCATTGTTTTGGAAAATTTAATAACTCTGTAAATATTGATGTTTAAAGAATGTAAATGTTTAATACAATTTTAAAAAGTTATCCTCTATATGTGTCTTCATTTATTGTCGCGATTGTAAAGACACGCTATATATACATAGCTCAAAAAACACCGAGAATGTGATGAGCTGTAATAACAAAAGCAATATCAAGTAACAATTTGATTAGTATTGGACTCAGGATTTGTCATATTTAAGTAAAAGAATTCAGAAAGTTGTAATTAATGATGCTGGTTCTTCTGGGTCGATGATATCAATGGGCGTTCCGCAAGGTTCGATTCTCGGCCCATTCCTTTTTCTCGTTTATATGAATGATTTACCATACTTAGTATGAAAATACATGACATAATGTTGTTTGCCGATGATACATCATTAATCTTTAAAATTAAGCGACGTATTGTAACACTTGACGAGGTAAATCATGCTATGTCAGAAATAGTTCATTGGTTTAATGCTAATAATTTACTGTTAAATGGCAATAAAACTAAATGTATAAAATTTTCAACACCTAATGTTAAACACTTGGGTGGTGCCAATGTACTTATAAATGGGGACGAGTTAGGCCTTGTGGATACCACTGTTTTTTTTAGGAATAACTCTTGATTCAAAGCTTCAATGGGGCCCCCATATATCCAAACTTGCTAGCAGACTAAGTTCTGCAGCATATGCTGTAAGGAAACTTATTTTCCTTTACTTATTTTCTAACGTCATCTATTTTTTTATTAATTTATTTAAGTGTTCACCCTAAAACGAAAATTTATCTTATACACGAAAAATAATTATTTTATAATTCTTTTTATAATTTGTTTATTTCCTAAATTGAGCCATTTTAAAAATAAAAACAAAATTTTATGAGCCATTTCATTAAAATCACAATATAAACCATAAAAACAAGAAATAATAATTATAAGTAATTTGCCTTTATTAATTTATTTGACTTTACATGTATTTTAATCAATTCCTTTTCCATTTAATTAAAAAAAAATAATAAACAGGAAGAAGATTTTCTAAAATTGTTGATTGCTTTTTCATACTTTATATTTGTTTGTTTATTATTATTCCTATTATAATATAGAAGTAAAATACAACCATGGTCTATAAAAGATATTATAGGGATCATCTGTGTACATTTTCGAAAGTCTTCCATGATACTATCGATAGTATCCTACGGCCCATCGCTACACACACACTAGGTAATGAATGACTTGGTCTAGCGGCGCGTCGACGAAACTCGCGCGCTGCGCGCCGCTAAGCGGCGTTACCCCTCCTCCGCTTCCTCATACTTCACCACCCAAATAGTTAAAAATTCACTGCATTCAGCGCCTTAAACTACTGTTATATTATTAAATTGAAAGTATGAAATTTACTGGCACTGGCGTCAATGCTTTGTATAGATAATTATTTGCTTGGCTGCAATTAATTAAGTGCAAACGCCTGGCGCTGTCGTTTCCTAGAATTATTAATTTTCAAGTTTTACAAGTTTTCTTTTTTAATTTTCAATGTCTACATTTAAATAAAGAAAGTGGAACTGATAGATGAAAATGTATTTACAAAATTTAACGTGAAAATATCCACCATATTTTTACGCGCATACACTTTCTGCTTGAAGGTGCGTAATGCTGCGATAGGAAAGAATCTGCTAAAGGCAAAGAGCTTTATGAAGAACCATTCCTGTCGAATGAGATATTACATAACATGGATATGTATCCCAATTTAATTTTTTTCTCATGTTTGACCAGTTTTATTCACGACAATTGAATTCTCAACCACAACTGAAACACTTTAACAAGCAGTTTCAGGAAATCTCTACACCACTACTTATTTTTTTAAGATCGATTAAATGTCAGCCTATTGCTTTACCATGCAGGATATAAATAACTTAGTATTTAAAAAAATACTTAAAAGACAGTGTTAATAAAGTGAACGTTCCTTTAGCCTTTGCAGGCGGTCTGAAATCTGTTGTCTAGACCTATGAACACACGTACGTACATGCACACAAAGTATTGCAGCGGGTAACACGTTTTAAAGGTCATGCTGAGCTGAGCTACTTATTATATGGTTAAAATAGCAAAATAGCACTGGGCTATCTCTTAAAAAATCCCTACCCGAGCATAGAGCTCTTCGCTATGTTAATCGGCACTCAATTTTTTTTATTTTCGAGCACCAATACAGCATCTGAAGCCTCAATTTCAGACTGCCCTATAGCTTATTCTATATAGAGACATGTGCGTGATTGGTAGTTTCATTACTTCAAAGCATATCTAGAATAACTATTAAGGAATTTCTTATTAAAATTCTAGAAATACAGATTTTGTAGTACCTTGATGCAACATAACGAGATCCTCACAACTCCGACGGTAGGGTGCTGTTACGGAAATTGCTAGTAGTAGCATAGATATTTAGATAATATATACACATCACGGCGGGTATTAGACATTTACGCTCAAAAGTCATTGGCTGAAGAACTCCTTATACAAATAGGTATTTAATATATAAGAAAACATAATCCTTCCACTTTCTTAAATAAAGTGTCAGTTTACTTCGCGTAAAGCATACGCGAAAAAATTTTAAAAACAAAAAATAAAAGATTTAATGACAGTCTTTTTTTCAAATTCAATGATAAGCCTTTTCGATGTATACGATGTATAGAAAAGAAAATCACAATATGAGTTCTGCAGCTATTTCAGCATGATAACTACACACTCAAGCCACGAGTCTATGCTAATTGCCTGTTAGTTGAGTTTGCTGATGTTTGCAGAGAGCCTTCACTATTCAGGATTGTCAAAATACTGTTTAACTTTTTAATTGCATGAGCCGTAAACTAAAACATACATGAATAAAGTTGTTGGTTTTCGTTTAGACTTTGAAAGAAAATAAAAATGTTCTGATAATTTGTGAATAAAAAATAATTACTGCTTTTTAATTCTTCCAAAGTGATTTTTTTAAATATAACCTATTCAAGAGAATATTATAGACATAAATAAAATGGAAAAGATTAATTAAAACATAATAGCTTTCTGCGTGATTAGATCTGAGTAGAAACATTTAACTATTTTCGGTTATTAAATTCTTCAGAGCTAATAAGCTTTAATGAATGGTAGTGAACTCGTGAATTTAATTTACGTCTAGAACGCCTCACAATGAAAAGGCGCGTTTTTTGTTAATTAAAATAAAGCCATACCAAGTAGAATTGCCGCGTAAGGTTATTATATTGTGGGTGCAGATATTAAAAGAATGATAATCGAGGTAACAGATATTTCACGCGTCACTTTGATATAAGTATAATTTTATATTACTTTTACCTTTGTGTTGGCGCTGGCAACACTGTATACCGGATACGACGTTATCTACTCGAGTAAGGGACACACGTTCCTGGACGGTGATATAACCACTAGTGTTGCTTGTCGTTATAATAGTTGTTAATATTCAAGTTCAGTAATAGTTAAAATATTAGAATCAAGTTAAAAACGTTAGAACTCTTATATTTGTTAATGCTAGACTTGAACTAGGTATCCATATTTATTACATGAATTCATTTTTATTTAAATAATATCGATATTTATTTATTTTATGAAAATAATTTAAATGCGAAGGTAGTCGTCATCCACAACTTACCCGAAGAAGAGGCGATGTTCAGATAAAAATGGTTATTAAACAATAATGTCGATTTTTCGATGACACAATGGTAATGAAATATT